GGAAAAAAAAAGGGGAACCCTGAAAGGGGCGGGGTGAGAAATCTTAGACTTTAAAATTAGCTACAGAATGGACAGGACATACTAGGACTTGTAGTTCCACAAAAGATGCAAATCACCCCCTACTTCATCTATAGGTGTAGGGGGGGTGCAGCAGGTTGGAGGTGTCACGTGGCAATGTTTACATGAAATGTGCAGGAGTAGGACCACCAAAACATAGTGAGTGGGCTGCCCAACCCCTTCCCTTATTATAGTATTACAGTAACAGTCTACAGCAGGGGTCTCCAAACTCTAAACAAAGGGCCAGTTTACTGTCCGTCAGCATTGGAGGGGGCCAAACCATGGCCAGTGGAAGTAGAAAATGCCCCAGTGTCAGTGGGAGGAACAGGGCCCCATCAATGGTGTCAGGGGGAGGAACAGGGCCCCAGCACTGGTGTCAGTGGGAGGAACAGGGCCCCATCAATGGTGTCAGGGGGAGGAACAGGGCCCCAGCACTGGTGTCAGCGGGAGGAACAGTGCCCCATCACTGGTGTCAGCGGGAGGAACAGTGCCCCATCACTGGTGTCAGCGGGAGGAACAGTGCCCCATCATTGGTGTCAGCGGGAGGAACAGTGCCCCATCACTGGTGTCAGTGGGAGGAATAGAGCCCCATCACTGGTGTCAGTGGGAGGAATAGAGCCCCATCACTGGTGTCAGTGGGAGGAATAGAGCCCCATCACTGGTGTCAGTGGGAGGAATAGAGCCCCATCACTGGTGTCAGTGGGAGGAATAGAGCCCCATCACTGGTGTCAGTGGGAGGAATAGTGTCCCATCATTGGTATCAGTGGGAGGAATAGAGCCCCATCACTGGTGTCAGTGGGAGGAATAGAGCCCCATCATTGGTGTCAGTGGGAGGAATAGAGCCCCATCATTGGTGTCAGTGGGAGGAATAGTGCCCCATCATTGGTGTCAGTGGGAGGAATAGAGCCCCATCATTGGTGTCAGTGGGAGGAATAGTGCCCCATCATTGGTGTCAGGGGGAGGAATATTGTCCCATCATTGGTGTCAGTGGCAGGAATAATACCTCAAGGGCCTGATAAAGGCAAGCAAAGGACCACTTCTGGCTCCAAGGCCGCAGTTTCGAGAAGACTGCTGCACAGTCATAGACACATTTCACTTCCACTCCAAACTCTGCCCTACCAAAAAGCACCACCGGGCTGCCTCAGACCGCCGACAGTCAACACCAGTGGAGAAGGCAACACAAGACACTCTGACCGAGTGATACATTGTCCTGGTTAATAGGTTGCATGCTGCAACAATGTTACTATTCTTCAATACAGCCAGTGTCAAGCATCATTCTGGCAGCACTTTAGTTCTGTAGAAGGGCTTGGTCACACTAGCTTTGAAGAGCGATCCACATTTGAATCCCTCTTCAGAGGTGCGGAGGCGATACAGTAAATGCTTAACCCCTTTCTTTAGCGCACAGAAAGCGTCAGGAGGGGGTATCATCGCAGCCACGGCATGCGTACACCCAAAGCTGCTACCTCTGCAGATAAAGGGGAAGGCAGTTGGGGGCAGTAAAAATGCGGACTGGTAGGCGGCTGTATGCAGGTATCTGTATGTATGTATGTAGCAGTACATCCAGTCCGTGGTCAGCTATACCGGGGGGTTCCCCAGCCCTATACCTAAAATGCAATATACAGAATATATACAGCTGGGAGTAGCATATTATATATACACAATGTAACATACAGAATATATACAGCTGGGAGTAGCATATTATATATACAATGTAACATACAGAATATATACAGCTGGGAGTAGCAGATTATATATACAATGTAACATACAGAATATATATAGCTGGGAGTAGCATATTATATATACAATGTAACATACAGAATATATATAGCTGGGAGTAGCAGATTATATATACAATGTAACATACAGAATATATACCATACCGCTGGGCTGGAAGGTGATCTCCATGATTCTCCCACACGGTCACATAGCAGCCAGACGTGGAAGCAGTGTGGGTCATGTGATCAGCCGGTCATGTGATCAGGATGCCACGTGACAGCCCAGGCTGTGCAGATCACATGCCTGGGAGAATGTTAACCGTTTGTTGGCAGTTGCTCTCTCTGCATTGATTGCAATGGCAGCACTTTAGGAGCGATGCGAAAATTTGAAATGACCCGATTTGCATTTTTGTTTGTGCGTTGTCCTTTTTTTTTTTCTTCTTCTTTTTCTGTGATGTCCTTGCAGAGTATGCGGGGTCCCAAAATGGGCTCCGCTAGGGGTCTCAAAATGGGCCCCGCTAACAAAGGCTGTAGGGTGGCCACCTCATCCCTTTAAAACCCGAACACATATTATTGACACAGGTTCTGGGGCTGATTAAGGGGTCATTAACCCCTTCACGCCTACGGGACAAAAAACAGATTTCAATGTTCAGTCCGGGTTCACATATATGCGGCTCGGTATATCGCATGTGATTCACACATTAACCGCATCGCATTCCTGTGCGAATCACATGCGATCTGTGTGCGGTGCGATCGGAGGCGTACATTTTGTATGGTTCTAATTGCACCGCACCATAAAGGTGCAGGACCCCTTTTTTGGGTCCGCACTAGAATCAGATCGCATGGGTATTCACACCTATGAGAGTCGATTCTGCACATCGCACGGCGTTTTGCGGACCGCTCTGTGGGTGTCATTAACTTAACATGCAAACCTGCAGCGGTTCGCATGGACGGGGTGCGATTCTGATGCTGCACAGCATCAGTGTGAACCAGGGCTCAAGCACAATCTTGCAACTTTGACCTGTGTTAGTAAAACCGTACATATCACCGCAACTACTTCGTACATCCACGTGGATTATACCACCTTTTTTGGGGGGGTTTTTTCAGGACAAATCTAGCTTTCATTTGGTGGTAAATGGGAATGGATGTCTCCTGATTTTTTTTTTTATTATCAAAGGAAAACTGGCCAAAAATAGTAAAAAAAATGTTTTTTTTTTTATTTAGCTGTGTGTTTCTTTTTACTACAATAACCTACCACCAAAGAGCAACCCAAAATACATTTTCCAGCTCTTGACGATCACAGCGATACCATAGATGTGTATGTTATTGGTGTAGTACGGCCCAGAAACAATAGTGCGCATGTTGTCTTTTTGTACCTGAAACACACTGACACCAATTAAAAAAAAAACTCCTGACCTTTGACCCTGACCTTGACTCAAACACTGACCCTGGTACTGCGCTAGATCAAACCTTGATCTAGGTATTTTTTCTTTATTTGAAAGAAAGAAAGAAAGAGAGAGAGAGAGAGAAAAGAGAGAGAGAGAGAGAGAGAAAGAAAGAAAAAAAGAAAGAAAGAAAAAAAAGAGAAAAAAGAAAGAAAGAGGTTGGGTCGTGTCAGGTTGGGTCTTGTTTGTTTGGTTCAGGTTGGGTCGTGTTTGGTTGGGTTGGGTCAGGTTTGGTTGGGTCGTGTTTGGTTGGGTTGAGTCAGGTTGGGTCGTGTTTGGTTGGTTGGTTGGGTTGGGTTGTGTTTGGTTGGGTTGAGTCAGGTTGGGTCGTGTTTGGTTGGTTGGCTGGGTCGTGTTTGGTTGGGTCGTGTTTGGTTGGGTCGTGTTTGGTTGGGTTGGGTCATGTTTGGTTGTGTTGGGGCAGGTCGGGTTGTTTTTGGTTGGGTTGGGTCGGGTCAGGGTTGAGTCGTGTTTGCTTGGGTTAGGTTTGGGACGTATTTGTTTGGGTCGGGTTGTGTTTGGTTGGGTTGGGTCAGGTTGTGTTTGGGTTGAGTCGTGTTTGCTTGGGTTAGGTTGGGTCGTATTTGTTTGGGTTGGGTCAGGTTGTGTTTGGTTGGGTTGGTCAGGTTGGGTTGTGTTTGGTTGGGTAGTGTCATATTTGGTTGGGTTGGGTCAGGTTGGGTCGTGTTTGGTTGGGTCGGACTGTGTTCAGTTGTGTTTGGTTGTGTTGGGTCATGTTTGGTTGGGTTAGGTCAGGTTTGGTTGATTCAGGTTGGTTGGGTTGGGAAAGGTTTGGTTGGGTTGATTCAGGTTGGTTGGGTTGGGAAAGGTTTGGTTGGGTTGAGTCAGGTTGGGGCGTGTTTGGTTGGGTTGGGTCAGGTCGGGTTGTGTTTGGTTGGGTCAGGTTGGGGCGTGTTTGGTTGGGTTGGGTCAGGTCAGGTTGGGGCGTGTTTGGTTGGGTCGGGTCAGGTTGGGGCGTGTTTGATTGGGTTAGGTTGGGGTGTGTTTGGTTGGGTTGGGGTGTGTTTGGTTGGGTTAGGTTGGGGCGTGTTTGATTGGGTTAGGTTGGGGTGTGTTTGGTTGGGTTGGGTCAGGTTGGGGCGTGTTTGGTTGGGTTAGGTTGGGGCGTGTTTGGTTGGGTCGGGTCAGGTTGGGGCGTGTTTGGTTGGGTCGGGTCAGGTTGGGGTGTGTTTGGTTGGGGCATGTTTGGTTGGGTTAGTTCGGGTCGTGTTTGGTTGGGTTGGGTCAGGTTGTGCCAGGTCGGATGTGAGCCCAGAATTTGGCTGTATTGCTGGGCCTGTGCGGTGCAGATGGAGGACTCCCTGCCCTACAAGTCACCAAGGGGTGGGGCTTGTGACTTCATCCACCTTATATGGCCATATAAGGAGATGACATTGTGGCCATATAAGGGTAATGACGTCATGAGTATCCCTGTCCTTTTGTCACGTGCAGGGGGTTCCCGGTCCGCAGCCCAGCCTCTCCATACCGCTGAGTCCAGAGTGCGGCTGTCATGTCACGTGGTTCACTGAGCTGCGATCTGGAAGCCCCTCCCCCCATCTGGGCTGTCATTATTCCGCCCACCAGCTAGGCGGGTTGAGCGGTTGGACAGTGTGCTGCAGTTCCTCCATCGCGGCCCAAAGGTGTCGCTGTTCTGCGTCACCTCACCTCCTCTGCCCCGAGATTGGCCGCAGGATCGTCTCCCTATTGGAGGAGTGGGGTGGTGGGCGTGTCCCTGCGGCAGTAGGAAGCGGTTGCACGGTCCGCCCGCTCACTCTCCGCCATGCTGGGCTGCGGCGGGTCGCGGGCGGTCAGGGTCGCTGTGCTGGTGGCGGTGATTGGGGTCCTGCTGGCTGTGATCCGGCAATGGCTGATGAGCAAACCGTACACCTTCTCCCGGGAGGAGATCTCCGCCCTGGCCCGGGAACACGCCGGTAACCACGCCCCCACGGGTCACTCTGCTGTCTGGCCTCATATCTGGGGTGTCTGCTATGGAGGGGAGGGGGCCCCTAGGTGGTTGGAGGAGAAAAGGGCCCCAAGGTGGTTGTTGGGGCAGGCGAGGGCCCCCTTGGTGGTTGGTGGAGGAGAAAAGGGCCCCTGGGTTGCTGGAAGGGGGACCCTGGTTGGGAGAAGGAATAAAAGGGCTCCTGAGTAGTCCTGGTTTTGGAGGAGGAAAGGGTCCCCGGGGTGGTTGGAGGAGGAGAGGGTCCCCGGGGTGGTTGGAGGAGGAGGAGAGGGTCCCCGAGGTGGTTGGAGGAGAGGGTCCCCGAGGTGGTTGGAGGAGGGGGTCCCCGAGGTGGTTGGAGGAGGGGGTCCCCGAGGTGGTTGGAGGAGGCGGTCCCCGAGGTGGTTGGAGGAGGGGGTCCCCGAGGTGGTTGGAGGAGGAGGAGGGGGTCCCCGGGGTGGTTGGAGGAGGGGGTCCCCGAGGCGGTTGGAGGAGGAGGGTCCCCGAGGCGGTTGGAGGAGGAGGAGGGTCCCCGAGGCGGTTGGAGGAGGAGGAGAGGGTCCCCGAGGCGGTTGGAGGAGGAGAGGGTCCCCGAGGAGGTTGGAGGAGGTGAGGGGCCCCCGAGGTGGTTGTCTTAGGAGGATGAGAGAGTCCCCAATGTGGGTGTCGGAGGGGGCGAGGGCCCCCCGAGGTGGTTGAAGGACAGGAGGAAAGGGTGAGGCAGTGGTTGGAGGAGCGGGCCCCAGGGTGGAAAGAGGAGGGAGCCCCAAGCATTGTAACATGACAGGAAGGGACCTCCTAGGGTGGTTGGTGGAGGAGCAGAGGGCCCCAGAGTGGACAGCGTGGAGGAAGTGGTAAACCTTGTGGTTATTAGGAGGGGTCCCGTGGTGGTAGCAGAATAAGAGGGGACGTTGGTTGGTTGGTGAGGGGAGAAGGATTCTTGGGTCATGGTTGGAGTAGTTGCTATTGGGGAGGGAGAGAAGGCGGTAAGAGGGGGTGTTGGGGTGGGCTGTAGTGCGGGGGTGTGGTCAGCACAGAAGGGGTACTCAGGTGATGGACATAGCAGGAGGTGCTTCCTCTGAGGACTCCCCACCCCCGCTCTGACCCCTCTCTCTCCCTTCCCCAGGTTTGGACTATGAAGTCGCCTTCTCCAAGATCATCATTGAGCTGAGGAAGAAGCACCCCGGGCACATCTTACCGGATGAGGACCTGCAGTGGGTGTTTGTGAACGCCGGAGGGTGGATGGGCTCCATGTGCCTCCTGCACGCCTCCCTCACTGAGTATGTGCTGCTGTTCGGTACAGCCGTGGATACCAGCGGCCACTCAGGTCAGTGATGACAGGATGGAGTGACCTGTACTCTGCGTTCTACATTCTCCTTCATACAGATCACTGATCCAGCGCTGCTTTCTCCTCCACTGTCTGACCAGACACACCGTCCCCTTATACAGCGCCTTGAAAAAGTCTTCACCCCCCCTGAAATGTCCACCATGTTGTCATGTTACAATGTATTTAATTGGGATTTGATGTGATAGACAATAGACACAAAGTGGCACATAATTGTGAAGTGGAAGGAAAATTCGTTTTTTAGAAATAAATCTGTGAAAAGTGTGGCGGCATTTGTATTCAGCCCCCTTTACTCTGATGCCCCTAACTAAAATCTAGTGGAACCAATTGCCTTCAGAAGTCACCTAATTAGTAAATAGAGTCCCCTGTGTGTCATGTGATCTCAGTATAAATCCAGCTGTTCTGTGAAGCCCTCAGAGGTTTGTTAGAGAACATTAGTGAACAAACAGCATCATGAAGGCCAAGGAGCACACCAGAGAGGTCAGGGATAAAGTTGTGGAGAAATGTAAAGCAGGGTTAGGTTATAAAAACAACTATTCCAAGCTCTGACCATCTCACGGAGCACTGTTCAATCCGTCATCCGAAAATGGGAAGAGTACGGCACAACTGCCAACCTACCAAGACATGGCCGTCCACCTAAACTGACCGGCCGGGCAAGGAGAGCATTCATCAGAGAAGCAGCCAAGAGGCCCATGGGAACTCTGGAGGAGCTGCAGAGATCCACAGCTCAGGGGGGAGAATCTGTCCTCAGGACAACTATTAGTCGTCACTCCACAAATCTGGCCTTTATGGAAGAGTGGCAAGAAGAAAGCCATTGTTGGAAGAAAGCCATAAGAAGTCCCGTTTGCAGTTTGTGAGAAGCCATGTGGGGGACACAGCACACGTGGAAGAAGGGGCTCTGGTCAGAGGAGACCAACATGGGACTTTTTGGCCTGAAAGCAAAACGCTATTTGTGGGGGAAAACTAACACTGCACATCACCCTGAACACACCATCCCCACCGTGAAACATGCTGGTGGCAGCATCATGTGGTGGGGATGCTTTTCTTCAGCAGGGACAGGGAAGCAGGTCAGAGTTGATGGGAAGATGGATGGAGCCAAATACAGGGCAATCTTAGAAGAAAACCTGTTAGTCTGCAGAAGACTTGAGACCGGGGCGGAGGTTCCCCTTCCAGCAGGACAACGACCCGAAACATCCAGCCAGAGCTACAATGGAATGGTTCAGATCAAAGCATCTTCATGTGTTAGAATGGCCCAGTCACAGTCCAGACCCAAATCCAATGGAGAATCTGTGGTCAGACCTGAAAATTGCTGTTCCCAGACGCTCTCCATCCAATCTGACAGAGCTTGAGCGATTCTGCAAAGAAGAATGGGCAGAAATGTCCCTCTAGATGTGCAAAGAGACATCCCCAAAAAGACTTGCAGCCAAAGGGGGTCCTACAAAGTTCTGACTCCGGGGGGGCCAAATACAAATGCCGCCACACTTTTCACAGATTTAGTAGTCACAAATGTTGGAAACCATTTCTCATTTTCCTTCCACTTCACAATTATGTGCCATTTTGTGTCCATCACATGCAATCCCAATAAATACATTGTAACATGACAACATGGGGGGGGATACATTGTAACATGACAACATGGGGGGGGGAATACATTGTAACATGACAACATGGGGGGCATTTCAGGAGGAGGAAGACTTTTTTCAAGGTACAGATCACTGATCCAGCACTGCTTCCTCCTCCATTATCTGACAAACGCACACTGTCACCTTATATACAGATTACACTGCTGAAAAAATGAAAGGAAGACTTTGTAATCCGAGTCTAGTATCGGGTCCATGACACTCCTGGGATATGGATCTGGTCAGGTAAGTCGCAGAGGGGGTTGTTCATCAGTTTCAGCCACTTTGGTGTTCATGAAATTAACAACAGGTGCACTAGATGGGCAACAGTGAGATGACTCCCAAAACAGGAATAGTTTTACAGGTGACATTTTTTCCCTACTCATCTTTTCTGATTGGTTTTCACTAGTTTTGCATTTGGCTAGGGTCAGTGTCACTACTGGTAGCATGAGGTCATACCTGGACCCTACAGAGGTTGCACAGGCAGTCCAACTCCTCCAGGATGGCACATCAATACGTGACATTGCCAGAAGGTTTGCAGTGTCTCCCAGCACAGTCTCAAGAGCATGGAGGAGGTTCCAGGAGACGAGCATGGAGGAGGTTCCAGGAGACAGGCAGTTCCTCTAGGAGAGCTGGACAGGGCTGTAGAAGGTCCTTAACCCATCAGCAGGACCGGTATCTGCTCTTTGTACAAGGAGGAACAGGAGGAGCCCTGCCAGAGCCCTACAAAATGACCTCCAGCAGGCCACTGGTGTGAATGTCTCTGACCAAACCATCAGAAACAGACTTCATGAGGGTGGCCTGAGGGCCCAACGTCCTCTAGGGGGCCCTGTGCTCACTGCCCGGCACCATAGAGCTGGATTGGCATTGGCCATTGAACCCCAGAATTGGCAGGTCCACCACTGGCACCCTGTGCTTTTCACAGATGAGAGCAGGTTCCCCCCTGAGCACATGTGACAGACGTGAAAGGGTCTGTAGAAGCCGTGGAGAACGTTCTGCTGCCTGTAACATGGTTCAGTATGACCGTTGTGGTGGTGGGTCAGTGATGGTCTGGGGAGGCATCTCCATGGAGGGACACACAGACCTCTACAGGCTAGACAATGGCACCCTGACTGCCATTAGGTATCGGGATGAAATCCTTGGACCCACTGTCAGACCCTACGCTGGAGCAGTGGGTCCCGGGTCCCTCCTGGTGCGGTGGGTCCCTCCTGGTGCGGTGGGTCCCTCCTGGTGCGGTGGGTCCCTCCTGGTGCGGTGGGTCCCGGGGTCCCTCCTGGTGCGGTGGGTCCCGGGTCCCTCCTGGTGCGGTGGGTCCCGGGTCCCTCCTGGTGCGGGGGGTCCCGGGTCCCTCCTGGTGCGGGGGGTCCCTCCTGGTTGCGGTGGGTCCTGGGGTCCCTCCTGGTTGCGGTGGGTCCTGGGGTCCCTCCTGGTTGCGGTGGGTCCTGGGGTCCCTCCTGGTTGCGGTGGGTCCCGGGTTCCTCCTGGTTGCGGTGGGTCCCGGGTTCCTCCTGGTTGCGGTGGGTCCCGGGTTCCTCCTGGTTGCGGGGGGTCCTGGGTTCCTCCTGGTGCAGGACAATGCCCGGCCTCATGTGGGGGGAGTATGCAGGCAGTTCCTGGAGGATGAAGGAATTGATACCATTGAATGGCCCCCACGCTCCCTTGACCTAAATCCAATAGAACACCTCTGGGATGTCATGTTTCGGTCCATCCGACGCCACCAGGTTGCACCTCAGACTGTCCAGGAGCTCAGTAATGTCCTGGTCCAGATCTGGGAGGAAATCCCCCAGGACACCATCCGTGGTCTCATTAGGACCCTCCCCCGACGTTGTCAGGCATGCATACAAGCACATGGGGGCCACACAGACTACTGAGGACCATTCTGAGTTGCTGCAATGACATTTCAGCACAATGGATTCGCCTGCTGCATCATTTCTTCACTTTGATTTTCGGGGTGTCTGTGAATTCAGTCCTCTGTAGGTCGATCATTTCCATCAAACGATGGGGCGTCCTTACGTTCCTCACCCATCCCCCGTCCATGTCAGTATAGAGATCCAGCAGGAGATTCCTCCCCATTGAGGTCTGATGGGTTCTCCGTGTTCCTTCCATTTCTCTGAGCCGTGTATATTCGGCTCCTATATCCTGTATGGAACACACAACTGTTGCTGTAACTGTTTAAAAATGATTCTCTGGAGTTGAGCTTTAGAGTGGAACTCCAGGATTCTCCCCCCGCCAACACCGCTGTATGACGTCACTGCAGAGTGGACCGCGAGCGACTGCGTTGTGGTATTTTTTTGGTACTTTATTAGGTTCATCAGAACCAATAAAAACTTCTAACACTCAAAAAAACTGAAAGTCTCCTTCCCTCACTGTGCACATTAGTTGCCTATTGATCAGGGAAAGGTCTCTGCAGCTTTGTGTAGATGGTTGTGCTGAACATCCATCTGCAGGGGTACCAGCCGTGGCATTGGCCCTCTGCCTGTGTGTTCATCCCCTCCCCAACACCTTCCTGCACCGTGTCCGTGTGCTCGCAGTGGTGCCATGTCCTTGCACTTTCACTCTTTGTACAGTAAGTTCAGGGCTGGATCCCTGCTGACTCTGCACTTCTGGGAGAGATTAGGAGGTCAGACCAGATAAGGGGACCGGGGCCCTGAGAGTCCAGAGTGTGCGGGGGAGGGATCAACTGCTGTGCCCTCAGCCTGTAATATAGAAGACTGTGAGCATGATGGCAATATATAGAAAGGTGATCACATGGGGAGTCAAGGGGCGTTTCATCTGTTTTGCCTTCACTGGTTCCACAATGTTCAGATACAAATTATCTATCTCCCGTCTGATCGATGTTTATAAACAATGTTACTTTGTATCTCTCCATCTCCTGTCTGATGGAGAGATACAAAGTAACATTGTTTATAAACATCGATCAGACGGGAGATAGAGATACAAAGTAACATTGTTTATAAACATCGATCAGACGGGAGATGGAGAGATACAAAGTAACATTGTTTATAAACATCCATCTCCCGTCTGATCGATGTTTATAAACAATGTTACTTTGTATCTCTCCATCTCCCGTCTGATCGATGTTTATAAACAATGTTACTTTGTATCTCTCCATCTCCCGTCTGATCAATGTTTATAAACAATGTTACTTTGTATCTCTCTATCTCCCGTCTGATCCATGTATATAAACAATGTTACTTTGTATCTCTCCATCTTCCGTCTGATCAATGTTTATAAACAATGTTACTTTGTATCTCTCCATCTCCCGTCTGATCGACGTTTATAAACAATGTTACTTTGTATCTCTATCTCCCGTCTGATCGATGTTTATAAACAATGTTACTTTGTATCTCTCCATCTCCCGTCTGATCGATGTTTATAAACAATGTTACTTTGTATCTCTCCATCTCCCGTCTGATCGACGTTTATAAACAATGTTACTTTGTATCTCTCCATCTCCCGTCTGATCGACGTTTATAAACAATGTTACTTTGTATCTCTCCATCTCCCGTCTGATCGACGTTTATAAACAATGTTACTTTGTATCTCTCTATCTCCCGTCTGATCGATGTTTATAAACAATGTTACTTTGTATCTCTATCTCCCGTCTGATCCATGTTTATAAACAATGTTACTTTGTATCTCTCTATCTCCCGTCTGATCCATGTTTATAAACAATGTTACTTTGTATCTCTCCATCTCCCGTCTGATCGATGTTTATAAACAATGTTACTTTGTATCTCTCCATCTTCCGTCTGATCGATGTTTATAAACAATGTTACTTTGTATCTCTCCATCTTCCGTCTGATCGATGTGTATAAACAATGTTGCTTTGTAGCTCTCGTCTCATCGATGTTTATATAAAATGTTATTTTATATCTCTGTATCTCCCTTCTGATCAGTGTTGATAGAGAGATACAAAGTAACATTGTTTATAAACACTGATCAGATGGGAGATAGAGAGATACAAAGTAACATTGTTTATAAACACTGATCAGATGGGAGATGGAGAGATACAAAGTAACATTGTTTATAAACACTGATCAGATGGGAGATGGAGAGATACAATGTTACTTTGTAGCTCTCATCTAATCGATGTTTATATACAATATTATTTTATATCTTTGTCTCCTGTCTAAACAAAGTAACATTCTTAGGATGGGGGGAGGGGGTGAACAGACCAAACTGGTGTAGTTTGTGGAAGTTGGCGTACTCTTTAAACCTGTGTCTTTTGTGTTGCAGGACGTTACTGGGCGGAGATCACGGACACAGTCCTGTCTGGAACATTCCGCCAGTGGAAGGAAGGCACAACGAAGGGTGAAATATTTTATCCCGGTAAGAAGGGCTCTTCCATCCTTTTGGGGGGGGGGGGGGTGACAGGCACACCTGTGGTAGTGTATGCACAAGGGATCCCATCCATTGGGAATATCATCATGGATCCCTGAACTTGCATACAATGGTATAGATAACATCAGTGACACATCATTGTGGACTGCCCAGTGTCCAAAAAAAAAAAGGGGGGAGACACGTGCCAAGAGGACTTGCATGACCGGAATGAAAACGCATAAAAAAAAATAAATCTTGGTTAACTAGGGGCAAATGGAGCTGGGCTAAAGTCCTGATGTCCTCATAGGGGGTCACCAAGGTCTTTACCCTGCAGCTGGAGGAATAGGAGGATCCCTCCTGGCTCTGGCAGATGCATCTAATTGGTAGGGAGTCCCCCCCCTGTTGGTAGCCCTTCCCCCTCAGCTAAAATCAGAACACAACTGCACAGGGTGACAACACTGCAGTGAAATCACTTCAAGCAAAACAGCGTTGTCACCCTGCTGGAGGAAGTACCTTGTACTGGCAGGATGAGCAGATGTTCATATTGTGCCTACTTGCTGATGGGGACCCTATTACTTTGGTTCTGCTTTGTTTTCTCGTGTTGGAATAGTGAGGGACCTTTTATATGTAAACTTGATTATCTACATAACACAGGAATGTGTCCTTGGTTTGCCTCGTCTCGTTGTTGATGATGAATGTCTGTATATGTAGTTCAGTATGAATATTCAGCCTATACACCGCTCACCCTTTGTGTTTCCTCGCTGTGCAGGAGATACCATCATACACGAGGTGGGGGATGCCACAGCCGTCCAGTGGAGCGCCGGGACGTGGATGGTAGAGTACGGCCGGGGGTTCATCCCCTCCACATTGGGTTTTGCTCTGGCTGACACCTTCTTCAGCACCCAGGACTTCCTCACCTTCTACTACACCGTCAGGATTTACTGCAAGGCGCTGCTACTGGAGGCCAACACCTACCTGTCCGAGGTGGGGTTCTTCTGACCCAGCCGTCCAATCGTCCTCTCCCCTCTGTTAATGGGCCCCCTGCCCACTCCAGCGAATAACCGGTGGACCTCCATCTAGTTTGTTTTTTTTTGTTTTGTTTTGTTTTTTTTCCCCTTAATCTGCTAGAAGATATTTTTTATCACATGGGTCATCATGGCCACACAGAGGCTCAATGGGGGTCTTGAGGAGACATATTCTGTCATCTTCTGAAGAGCATCTTTGGTCATCTTCTGAAGAGCATCTTTGGTCATCTTCTGAAGAGCATCTTTGGTCATCTTCTGAAGAGCATCTTTGGTCATGTTCTGAGGAGACATCTTTGGTCATGTTCTGAGGAGACATCTTTGGTCATGTTCTGAGGAGACATCTTTGGTCATGTTCTGAGGAGACATCTTTGGTCATGTTCTGAGGAGACATCTTTGGTCATGTTCTGAGGAGACATCTTTGGTCATGTTCTGAGGAGACATCTTTGGTCATGTTCTGAGGAGACATCTTTGGTCATGTTCTGAGGAGACATCTTTGGTCATGTTCTGAGGAGACCTCTTTGGTCATGTTCTGAGGAGACCTCTTTGGTCATGTTCTGAGGAGACCTCTTTGGTCATGTTCTGAGGAGACCTCTTTGGTCATGTTCTGAGGGAGACCTCTTTGGTCATGTTCTGAGGAGACCTCTTTGGTCATGTTCTGAGGAGACCTCTTTGGTCATGTTCTGAGGAGACCTCTTTGGTCATGTTCTGAGGAGACCTCTTTGGTCATGTTCTGAGGAGACCTCTTTGGTCATGTTCTGAGGAGACCTCTTTGGTCATGTTCTGAGGAGACCTCTTTGGTCATGTTCTGAGGAGACCTCTTTGGTCATGTTCTGAGGAGACCTCTTTGGTCATGTTCTGAGGAGACCTCTTTGGTCATGTTCTGAGGAGACCTCTTTGGTCATGTTCTGAGGAGACCTCTTTGGTCATGTTCTGAGGAGACCTCTTTGGTCATGTTCTGAGGAGACCTCTTTGGTCATGTTCTGAGGAGACCTCTTTGGTCATGTTCTGAGGAGACCTCTTTGGTCATGTTCTGAGGAGACCTCTTTGGTCATGTTCTGAGGAGACCTCTTTGGTCATGTTCTGAGGAGACCTCTTTGGTCATGTTCTGAGGAGACCTCTTTGGTCATGTTCTGAGGAGACCTCTTTGGTCATGTTCTGAGGAGACCTCTTTGGTCATGTTCTGAGGAGACCTCTTTGGTCATGTTCTGAGGAGACCTCTTTGGTCATGTTCTGAGGAGACCTCTTTGGTCATGTTCTGAGGAGACCTCTTTGGTCATGTTCTGAGGAGACCTCTTTGGTCATGTTCTGAGGAGACCTCTTTGGTCATGTTCTGAGGAGACCTCTTTGGTCATGTTCTGAGGAGACCTCTTTGGTCATGTTCTGAGGAGACCTCTTTGGTCATGTTCTGAGGAGACCTCTTTGGTCATGTTCTGAGGAGACCTCTTCGGTCATTTGAGAGCCGCATGGCCACCAAATGGGAAGAAGCAGGTGCCTTCTAGAGTACAATATGGCCACTCGGAGGAGAAATCGGGCTGCACCCCAGGGGAGAATTTAGGCAGCACTCTGGGAAAAGAACACACACTACTGGGGAGGGTTGGTCTTGTCATAAAGCCATTTTCTAAGCTCACCTTCTTAGGGACGATACGTGGTGAATTCCTTCACCTTCAGCCTTAATGGGTCAGCTGGCCACACACTATGCAATCACATTGTACAGTTTGCTTCATACACATTAAATCTCGGCGTTTTGTCCTTTGACATGACTACTTTCACAGTTGGGAATTAGATTGTAGCTTAATGGTCTTGTTCAGTTTTAAAGAGACCCTGTCAATCCGGAGGATTCCCTCCCAAACCCTTCCTGACCAGGCCATTTTTTGCATTACGGCGCTGCATTACTTTGACTGACAATTGCGCGGTCATGCAACGCCGCACCCAAATGAAATTTACGCCTTTTTTTTTCCACAAATTTACCCTTTTTTCGGTGGTATTTGATCGTCTGGGGCTTTTTGGGTTTTTTTTTTGCGCTATGAGCATAAAAAGACCGACAATTTGGAGAAAAAAAACAATATTTTGGACTTTTTACTATTAAACATGTCCAGTAAAAAAAATGGTAAAAATTAAATTTCGTCATAAATTTAGGCCAAAACGTATCTGCTCCGTGTCTTCGCTAAAAAAAAAAAAAAAAAAAAAAAAATCCCAATACGTGTAAATAAATTGGTTTACATGAAAGTTACAGCGTTTACAGATGGCGGGATAGATACTGGGATTTGTTTTTTTTTTCCTACTAGTAAGGACGGCGATCAGCGACTTTTAGTGGGACTGCGGCGGACATTCTGACACTGAGGGGGAACTAACTTGGTGTCACTAACATCCCCAGTGACACCAATACAGTGATCGATGCTAAAAGAAACAGCAATGACACTGTACTAATGGCACTGGGCAGGAAAGGATTAATGTGAGGGGCGATCAAAGGGTTAACTGTGTGCTGGGAATTTTACACTAGGGGGCGTGTGCTTCACTGTAAGCACACTGATCAGGATGGCTGTGCTGTGCAGTGTGCCCGAGCTGACACAGAGGAAGATTGTTTGTAAACAAAACAGTTTTCCTGCCTGTTGGTAATCACCGGGTGGGATCCAGTGATTGACATCCGCGAATGGCGGCGCGGCTAGGGCTCGCGCGCACCCCCTACCTGGAAATGCAAAATCACGTGTATATATATATGTGTGTGTGTGTATATGTATGTATATGTGTGATTTTTGCGCACCCGTGTAGCAGTATATCTGGTATATGGCGGCAGAGAAGCGGTTGAAGCCCACAACTCCATTACGCTCCTCCTTGCAGCTCTCCCCAGCCGCTATTCCTTCCGTCGCGGTCAATGCAAATCACCCCCATGTTGGAGCTCACCGGGTTTCATGACCTTACCTTTTGCTATGGGGACGTGTTGTGGCCAAGTGAAGGGCCTTTAGGACCCGAGCATTGCATCCTAGGGAGGAGGTCATGTGCTTCATGGCCTTCCCCTATTGGTGCTGGGCAATGGTGCACCGAAATAAAAATTCGGATGCCAACACCAAAAATTCAGCATGCATGTGGCCAAAATGTCAGCATATGTGGGTGGGGAGGCTCCAATTTTTTTTTTCTTTTCTTTTCATGTAAAAAAAATTTGTTTTCCCTTTTTTTTTTTTTTTTTTTAAGCTTATGATTGTATTGCTGTTATATATGGGACCAATAGTCCCCTATTTGATAGCATATGAGTGACAGGCCCTCTTTGGAGGGGGTGGGGGGCAGTGCGTGTAAGGAGGGGAGCAGTGTATACAGAGAGGCTGACTGTGGACAAAAAGAAAACCAGGGAAAGAGATCCACTGGCAAAGTGGTTCTAATGAGAACAACCGTGGTTGAAATGAAAAACCAATTTTATTACAAAATGCTAAAAGTGAAACAAATAAATGGAAATAGTCCGACACCCTCACCATACCCAGACAATAAAACCGGAACAATAAATAAAAGAAAGTAGCCCATGCTACACGATCCCGGCACCACACGATCCCGGCACCACAAGCGTGCAGCTGGAGAATAAGAGACCAATAGAGTAGACCTGAGAAGATGGTGAAAAGTGACAGGTGGAAAAAGAACACAAAAATTGTATAATTGTGCTTATTATACAATTTTTGTATACCGAGGATACCACTTTTTGTTTTTTCAATCGGTGAGTCGGTGAATATCACTTGTTGTCCTGGAGTTCCCCTGTTTTAGGGACTCTAGTCCTTAGATTTATACTTAACAAATTTTCCTGATGAGGCATCCCAGTTTTTTATTCATTCTGTTACATCCCTCGCCGGTGCCGGTTTTTTAAATGCAATTGCCTGCCTTTTTTTTTTTTTTTTTTCTCCTGCACTACAGCTCACAGAATTAGCTGTCACTTTCCCCAGAGCTAAATGAAACATTGTTTCTTGTAGGGGTGGGGGGGGAGTGACAGCTAATTCTGTCAGTATTCTGTAGTTCTCTGCAGTACACACAGTCTCCTGTATCGGCTAAATGTTTCCTATCGGCAAAATGCTGATAGGGCTCTTTTCGGTCGATGTATTTCAGTGCATCCCTAGTCCCGGGACAGTGTTCTGGCTGAACGATTGGCTGTTAGAACCAAGCATTGCATTATAGGAGACCCCATGTTTCATGACATCATCCCTTGGTCATGGGACAGCATCCCAACCAGTTTACTGACCATTGGACCCACACACTGCATCATAGGAGGAGATCACGTGCTCCATGACATCCCCCCATTGGTCATGTGACAGTGTTCTGGTTGAGCGATTGGCTGTTAGAACCAAGCATTGCATTATAGGAGACCCCATGTTTCATGATATCATCCCTTGGTCATGGGACAGCATCCCAACCAGCTTACTGACCATTGGACCCAAACACTGCATCATAGGAGGAGATCACGTGCTCCATGACATCCCCCCATTGGTCATGTGACAGTGTTCTGGCTGAACGATTGGCTGTTAGAACCAAGCATTGCATTATAGGAGACCGCATGTTTCATGACATCATCCCTTGGTCATGGGACAGCATCCCAATCAGTTTACTGACCATTGGACCCAAACACTGCATCATAGGAGGAGCTCATGTGCTCCACTACATTCCCCCCCCCCATTGGTCATGTGACAGTGTTCTGGCTGAGCAGTTGGCTGCTAGACCCAAGCACTGCATTGTAGGTGGTCACATGCTCCATAACATTGCCCCCTTTTGTCATGTGACCGTGTTAGGATTACGTGATTGGCCACTAGACCCAAGCACTGCCTTGAAGGACAAGGTCATATGCTCATCAATTGCAAGAGTATTATATAATGGGAGTGCTGGGATGGTGAGGCCACATGTTCCATGATGTCATCCCCTTGGTCTTGGGGCAGCATTCCAACCAGTTGACTGACCGTTGGACCCGAGCACTGCATCATGGGAGGAGGACGCATGGTCCATGAC